AATATACCTGAAAAGATTTCTGTGACAGTCCCAATTACCAAGCTATTAAAAGTAAACACAACTGAAAATTTGAAGAACCCGGGGAGAGAAGCCCAGGAAAATGCTGATTAAAAAAAAATAAAAACAAACCACAAACAGATATTTTTAAAAACACACACACACAAAATGTAACTCGACAGACCTTCCTACATCTCAGCTTTCTTTAGGTCAGTCAAATCACTGCTAAAGCTTTCACCAACAGGAACTTTACTCTTGGTGTGCATGCTTCAGTGTAAGAACTGTTACTAATAATAAAAGTTTATAATACTAAGAATTTTTTCCTTAAGTGATAAACAAATGCCCCTACAGACAAATACCATGTTGTATCTTATCAGGAATCTATTCTACCCCACATTCATTAACATAGCTACAGTAGAGTGTACTGGGTTAGGAAATGAATGAAATGGAGGAAATCTTCATAGCTCACTATTTCTAATATAAAATAGGAATTGTGTACAATAATTTTGTCTTTATATTTTGCAAATATAACAGTAATAATATTCGACAAATGGGGAAATGTAAACAACTACTACTACTACTACACAAATCTAGCACTCTAAAAATTCTATCATTCTTATAGGTCCTTCTTCCATCTTTTTAATGTGCAAATCATCAAGATGAAAATGACTTGCTCATTTTGCATTTTATCATTAAAACACTGCATCCAATAAATTTACTTTAATCAATTATTTTCTGTATTGCTCCCAAGTTTATATAATGCCTACTATTTCATTAGTAAGTAATGATGAAGAGAACTTCTGTATGCACATTAAAAATATATTTTGGATTATTTACTTAGAATTAATTCAATACTTTAGATTACATAATTTATTTTCCAAAGAGCTGGACCAATTTATAAAGTCTTCAATATTTATGAGATCAACAGTTTCAAACCAATACTTGATACTGTCTTAAGATAACACGAATATTATATTTTTCTGCTCTGTTAATATGTAATGAAAAAAATGAGGCCTTAATTTTCCTTAAAATTTTTTTAAAAACTAGTTAGCCTGAACATTTTCTATGTTCTTTATTAGATGTATTTCTTGTTTTGTAAATTGTCTAACTGTAGAGGTACTAAGATATTTTTAAAAATTTAATTTAGCCTTTTGTAAAATAAAAGCATTAATTCTGCCACAATTATTATATTTTCTTTAACTCTGTTGCTAGCCTTTTTGAATTTGTGTTATATATTACATACATAAATTTTGTAATTTATGCAGATAAATCTATTTGTTGGTCTTCTCTTTCTTTTTTAATTGCTTTTTGATGGTGATACCATACAATGGTATCATAGCTTTACTTTATCTTACTTTTTTTGTTTGAAAAAATAACTTGTTTCTCTAACTTATGCAGGTAAATCTGCTTATTAGTACCTTTTTTCTGTTTGTTGCTTTTAAGAACTGATTACCTATAGAAGCTTGATAAATATTCAGTTTTATTTTTTTCTACATGCACTGTGGTTTGATTTTACATCTAACTGTCTAATTCTTTGAAATTTGTTTTGGTATATGTTATGAGATTTTAAAATATTTTTCCACAGTAATTGCTATACAATATCACAGAGCACACTGCAATTAAAAAAAACTTTTTCCCATTGTTGAATAAACCGTCTATGATACATATTGACCTACTAGGTTACATTAAAAAAAATTATATTCTAGGCTGTGTGTGGTGGCTCATGTCTATACTCTCAGCACTTTGGGAAGCTGAGGGGGGTGGATCACTTGAGGTCAGGAGTTTGCAACCAGCCTGGCCAACATGGTGAAATCTCTTCTCTACTAAAAACACAAAAAATTAGGCAGGTGTAGTGGCGCATGCCTGTATTCCCAGCTACTCGAGAGGCTTAAGTGGGAGAATCACTGAATCCTGGGAGGCAGAGGTACTAGTGAGCTGACATTGTGGCACTGCCCTCCAGTCTGGGTGATGGAGCGAGACTCTGTCTCAAAAATATATTCTAATTATATTAGGTAGAGACAGCTATGGTGTAAGGGTGGTTAGCAATAATAAGCTGATAATAATTTCTTTATCTTTTAGGTAATGACTTATGGCCAAGCTGGGATTTTATATAGCTGGCTCTACATTTTCAAAAAAGGGAAGAACATCACTTTTGACATTTAAATTGAGTTATGAATCTATTCCATAATAAAAGTAACTCTATTAAACCTGAGTATAAATATTTGCTTTCTTTTGAAAAATGATCAGTTTAAAATAAGCCAGAACTTGGTATTGTCACATCGTATATGTGAGCATGAGTCCTGAAACAAATTGCCTGAGTCTGCCTCTCTGGTCTCCTACTGACAGGCTGGATAGTTTGGCAAATTATACAACCCCTTTGTATGCGACTTTTCTCACAGGTGACAGGACAATAATAATAGTCATGATTTCTTGCAGTTGTGATAAGAATTAAATGAATTGAATGAATATTTATGTTATTTTACCATGTTTGGGGAGGAAGAGGAGAAAATGTGTCAACAAAAGCCTCCTTAAAGAGGGTGATTATTTGGTTAAAACTTAAAATATAAGCAATGTTCACTATTTGAATGTTCTATTTCGACACGACTTTCTGGAGCTGGTGGCGGCCCAGTTAGCAGAGGTTTACTACATACCTTTAAAGGTTCAGTACAGCTCTGCAGGGGGCATGTGGGATGTTGTTTCTTATCAGGAGCCCTCGGCCTAACGATGATGTAAGTTAACATTGCCTTTGATACTTACCTCCTCTCAGTAAAACCGAGGTATGAATTTGAGAGTACCTCAGTGTTGCGAGTTTAAATAGAAAAAGATCTGATAAAATAATTTACATAAAGGTGAACAGTAACTAGTGGGTTACTCTTTCCAGGCAGGGTCTTATATATTTTTTTTAATTTAAAAAGCGTTTTGGAGATAATTGATAGTTTAAAAAATCAGCCTAAAAGGCAGCTTAATCCACCATTTTTCTGAGTTTCTCTAAGCATTAAGTTTGGTCACCAAGAAGCAATGTTCTTCGATTTTATTAGCTTAGCTTCACTAAGGAATACTTCTTTTGAGTTGATTTAGCTAATCCTTGGCTTCCACTAAAAATTGATAATGGTATATCTATTTGAAAGACATTTTTGTATCTTTCACAAAACCCCGGCTGTAGGCATTTTACAGTAATTTATTAAGTGTCCATTGAATATGGATCCATGTAACAAAATCTTCCCAATATTTAGTGCCAGGAGTGAAATATTTTCTCTTAAGACAAACCTAGACATTCCCTTTATCAGAACATAAGAGCTATAAAACCCATGAATTGTTTTAGTTTCTTGGCCACCCATAAGTTTACAGCTAAACATGGTATCTTGTTTTAATAATATAGCTTATCTTTTGTTTCCCACACAAGTACTTCCTAAATAATTTCTGATCTGTCTTAACTTTTAAAAACTGTCATATCTTTAATGTTTTAGATCGGTAAACTACCTTAAAAGGCATGTTGGAACATGAGTGGAACATCTGTTGCCTGTGTTCCTCATCTGACCCTTACTCAATATTAATTTAAAAAAAATAGTGGTTTTTTTTTTTTTTTTTCTTTCCAATAGATTTCAGGATCTTATGGTAGGACAGGATTTCTTGTCTTCTATCTTCTATACTCAGCATATGTAGGTACTCAATAGCTAATTCGATTGATTGACAGCTGTCTTTTAAAAGTGGATGTCTAGAGAGGATTTTTAATGATGGACCTCATTAAAAAATGATGGACTAATAGCTAGGAAATACTAGGCTGAGAGTCTTTCTGTTATTTTTAAATTCCTCCACAATGGACCATGG